TAATCACTCTGTTGCTCTCAGACAGACGGAGACGTTTATGTGCTGTGTTTGTATCCAGAGTGAGCTGATGGGAATCTGATGGAGATAAAAACACATCAGAATCAGGAGGAATTATGAATCTGTTTGATCTTTTCATGTAGATTAACTCTTCATGTTCAGTGTATCATCAGTGTCTCAGTACAGATGAGCAGATATCTTGTACAAATCATAATTTACATCATCAATTATAAAACTCTTCTTTCACCTTCTACAGCAAGAACATGAACTCACTCAGTGAGTTTTTCTGCTTGTTTTCTTACTGACTTACATTGTAGGAAGTCGTTCCTGGTTCTGGGAACAATGTTGGTGAGTGTTTCTGTGGCAATCAACAGACATGAACAGTGTGATTCTCATGATCCTGCATCCATTCCTAAGACATTTCTAATATGATGCTCTCCATGATATGAGATGATGATGGACTTGTTTCTGAGAGCAGATGAATCTCCAGGACTTTACCTCTGTCTGAGATCTTCTTGAGCTCCTCTTTGCAGAAATCCTCCAGTTTGTCTATCAGCTGATGAACAGATTCTCTCAGGCCATTAGAAGAGAAGAGAGAATCGTCATTTATGTCTGTAGATGCAGGAGGTGCTGAGAGAGACTGGAATCTCTACAGAAAACAGAAATCAACACTCATTAGCACCACACTTCACCCAATAACCTGCAGGAACATCAGATTTGTGCGGCTCTTGTTGACTTGACTGATCTTTAGTAACTCACCTCAATCCAGCACTTTCACAGCATCAGCTACATTCTTCTCATATTCATTATAGATCTACAGATTCTAGTGTTTTCCACACTATATGTGAACTTTCTAAGAAATAGTTTGGATAACACATCTGCTAAGAATGTAAATGTCCAACAGCTCAAGCACATCAATGGAGTCTCATTGTAGGGTTGAGTAGATTTGCTCAAAAAAGCAGCTCAAAGGCTATGATTAGATTGACCATTATTTATAACTTTATAGCAGTTAGTGACACTGAAACTTCGAAACAATAATGCTGTCTATTAGCAATCAGTCTCATCAGGATTTCAGACAAAAATACAAGGTGCCGTAAATAATGCCATGTTTGATTTTGCATTAAATTCTGCAATCGCAGAATTGTGAAATCCTGGAGTGACTGAATAATGCTTTAGCGCATTGAAACCAAAAAGAACCTGACTGTGTCTTAAAGGCATAGTTCACCCAAAAGTGAATATTTTCTGTTAATTTACTCACCCACAGGGCATTCAAGATATAGGTGACTTTTTTTTCTTCAGTTGAACAGAAAAGAAGATTTCTTTTAGCTGAAATCATGGTGCTTGGAGATTCATAAAATGCAAGTCAGCGGCTTCCTGTCATTGATAATAAAAAAAAACATATCAAGAAACACAAAATGAATACCTGTGAACTCATTCAGCGCTTCAGTTCCTCCAAAAGTCAGTGAACTGAGGAAACAGTTTGACTTGGACCGAAGACCGATGAGCCGATGATATGCGCATGCGTGAACCAAACACTTGAATGAAGGGAACAAATTAATGTTTTAATGGTTTGTCATTATTTATATTAATAGGTGAGAGACTAGTTTATTCACTTTATATGCTTTAGAAATATCCACGTTTCACATCATTATTGGGTGCTTTAATATTCTAATTATGTATAAATTATGTCATTGCGCAATTACGTAAATTAACTAGTGAATTGAACCAGTTAATTGAAAATGACTGTCTGAAAGAATTGGATTTTCACGTTGCATGAGGGTCTGGATTACCAGTAATAACGTTGTAAATGATGTTCAGTTTCTTGTACAGACAGACTGTTTCACTTCATAAGACCTGAATATATTGTCAGGAACCACGGGTATTCATTTTGTGTTTCCTGATTTGCTTTATTTTTATTCTCAAAAACGTGCAACTGCTGACTTGCATTATATCTGTCATGATCTCTAGCTGGTGTGCCCATGAGCTCCTCTAGAGGGCACTCCATCCCTTACCTTCACCTTTTCACCCCATCCTTACTCCGTTGTCATGCCGCCCATAACAGAAAACTCAGCCATACCCGGATCCAGTGACTTTTTGAGTGTTTCCAAGTCAATCATGGACCCAGCGATCAGGTTAGTTTACCTTCATCAGGGAATGCGTTCTCTCAAGGACCACATTCAGGACTTTGGACATTGCATATCTCTCTGATCTCCCAGACTTTGCACTAACTCTGAGACTCTGAGCTTGCTCCAGTCCACGAATCTGCTCCAGAACCCACTGCGGTCTGTGGGTCTGGTCCGGAGCCTGCTCCAGTCCATGAGTCCGCTCCAGCTCCTCCTGAGGTGGCAGTGTTTGCTTCAGCTCCTCTCTGGGCTGTGGCGTCTACTTCTGAACTCTCAGCCTGTGCTGTCCCGGACAAGGAGGCCATCTCTGAGCTCTTTGCCTGTTCTGTCACGGACAAGGAGGCCATCCCTGAACTCTCTGCTTGCCCTGTTATGGCCAAAGATGCCATCTCTGAACTGTCTGCCTGCCCTGTTACGGCCGCGGTGGTTCCCTGCACCATCAACTCCACTAAAGTGGTCCTCAGTGCCATCATCTGCACCCCGGTGGTCATCAGCTCCATCGTGGGGATCTTCAGCTCCACCAGCTCCGTCCTTTTGGTCCTCAGCTCCGCCCTGGTGCTCTTCAGCTCCACCAGCACTGCCCTTTTGGTCTTCAGCTCCGCTCTGGTGGTCTTCTGCTCAGCCGGCTCTGCCCTGGTTTCCTACTCCGCCGGCTCTGCCTCAGTCTCCAGGTCCTCCACCTCCACAGCGACCTGGCCCTCCATCCCTCTCCCCTGTTCCACCTCCGCTCTGCCTCCCTCCTGGACTTCTATGACACTTTGGGGAGCGTCTGGAAGCCACTCCTTAAGGGGCTCTGTCATGATCTCCAGCTGGAGTGCCCATGAGCTCCTCTAGAGGGCACTCCTCTAGAGGGGACTCCATTTCCCAGAAAACCCAGCCTTGGAACTAATTACGGACACATCTGTTTCCCATTAGGAGGACTATTTAAGTTGCACTCTCACACTCACACATTTCTGAGTCTTGTTTAACTGTTTGAGGACATTTCTAAGCGTTTCCTTGTTTCCTTGCCTTTGTGTTTTTGTCTTTGGGTTGTTCCCTGGTTTGTGATCATTTGCTGCCTGCGTTGACCGATGCCTGTTATTTGGATTATTCTTTTATTTTGCCCTAGGACATAGTTGTTTACTGGTGTTTGACCCTGCCTCTTTCGACTATGCTCTTTAAGAAAGCTTGCACTTGGATCCGCTACTCTGTCACGCCGCCTGTAACAATATCAGTCACCACGGAACACAGTTTCAGCTAAAAACAAATTATTTGCGGCACCTTGAATTTTGGTCTGAAATCCTTGTGGGACTGATTACTAATATACAGAATCACTTCATGTTTGGGGTCTTCATGGTCAAATTTATCATGCAGGCAAGCTTTGAAGATCACCTGATCCAATTTTTAAAAAGTTGAAAAGTTAATGAACTGTTGGTGAAGCTTGACAGCTTAATATATCTTCCGGAAGAAAGAGCTCAGAGAAATGATTCCTAACGGTGCGTTTCCACTGGCACGTAGCGAGCGCAGCGGAGCAAGCTTTTTCAATTAATTCCTATGGAAGTTGAGCTTAAACGCTTGTGCGGTGCATTATGGGATTGAAAGCGGCACGGAGAAAGCGTTGAGAGCGGCCGAGAGCATTAAAAAGGTTGGGCATTCCTCGACTTTATGCAAATATCGAGCGAAAAACGCCAGGCGACAACCAATTGCTGTGAAAAGAAGATGAAACGTAAACAGGGTGTAAACATACGGCACCCTAAGAGGCGCGCTTTTGCCGTAATTTAACACGCCCCAAAAGCAGTGGCGTTGTAGCGTTGCCTGCAGCACGGAGCGCAGATTTGACGCTGTAGTGGAAACGCACCATAAGAGATTTCCAGAGCTGAAAAGCCATTTGTAAGCGGTGTCTCTCTCAAAAGAAGATGATTAAATAAGAGTCTGACTGACGATTATATAGTAAGACCCTCATAAAATGTTTCTCTGTGAGTCTCCTGTCACAGCAGGATCTGCTCAAGTCCACTATGATCCTGTTCTTCTAGATCTGTGTTACCTGCAGGAACTGGATGTGATCCTGTGTGTGTGAAAGCTGCTCCAGCTCAGTGTCTCTCCTTCTCAGATCATTGATCTCCTGCTCCAGTCGCTCCAGTCGTCCTTCAGCTCGACTCACTGCAGTCTTTTCCTGATCTCTGATCAGCCGTTTCAGCTCAGAGCAGCTTCTCTCAATAGGGCGGATGAGCTCAGTAAAGATCCTCTCACTGTCCTCCACTGCTGTCTGTGCAGAGCGCTGTTAGGACACACAGTGATTCAGGCTTCAGTGAGTCTGAACTGAGACTGAGACAAACTTATCTTCTTTTTCAGACTCACCTTATGAGACTCCACAGCCTCTCTCAGCTGCTGAAGATCTTTCTCTCTCTGCTGGATTCTCTGCTGGAACGTCTTCTGCGTCTCCTTCAGCTGCTTCTGCAGGACAAACAAATGATAGTAAATCTCACAGAAAACTACAGTCACTAAATCATCATGAGAACAGATGAATCCAGTAAAAGTGGAACTGATAACTAATGGCTGTAGGTTCAAACTCTAGAAGGGATGATTGATCATTTACCACCATTGTACCTAAATTAATATAAAGATTCAGACCTGTTTCACACTACAAGTGTGAGTATTATAAAAGTGAAACTGACACAGATGTAGAGCTTCAAACTGAAATTGTTTCTGCATCATTAATCTGTGGCTCTACACAGAAAATAAATGGACTATTGTATCACTACACTGAGTATTAACTTGATTGCTAGTTTTAAATACCTGTTTCTCTGTCCTCTGTGCTGCAGCTGACACAGTGTTGTGGTTTTTATGTTCATATTTTGTACACAGAACACAAATGCACTGTTGGTCAGTAATACAGTACATTTCCAGATGTTTCTCATGTTTCTGGCAGATCATCTCCTGCAGTCGTCCAGTGGCATCAGTAACTTTGTGTGGCTTATGTGAATGAAGTTCCTCATGATGGTCAACATGAGTTTTACAGTAAGATTCCTGACACACCAGACAGGACTTGACGGCTTTGTATTTTCTTCCAGTACAGACGTCACACTGCACATCTCCAGCTCCAGCGTAACAGTCTGCAGGTAGTTTGGTCTTCTTCAGTTTCTCCACCAGTTCAGTCAGCATGGTGTTTCTAGCTAAAGCAGGTCTTGGACTGAAGGTCTGTTTACACTGAGGGCAGCTGTAGACTCTCATCTGATCCTCCTGATCCCAGCAGCCTGTAATACAGCTCTTACAGTAACTGTGTCCACATTGAATGGTCACTGGATCCTTCAGGAGATCCAGACACAGTGGACACGTCAACTCATCCTGAGAAAATCTGGCTTCTGCCATTTCACTGCATGAATATAGAGACATAAACACAACAGCTCAACTACATTTTCACTTACTTTTTCCCTTAACCCTCAAGTTGTGTTCGGGTCATTTTGACCCGGAGAGAATATTCTTTCTCCTGAAAATGTTACGTAATGTTATCGCATTGGACTAAGATTTACTGACTTTGTTCACACAAGGCATTATTACTTCCACCGCAAAAATTGTTAACTTTCGTTAAACATTTTTTGTTATTCAACCTTGTTACACTTGTGGTTTTTCAAAAAATAGCTTATAAATCTCTTGTTATGCAATATTATCACCTAATATTGGTATCAATCTTTTTGTCAGCTTGTTTTCTTTCAATTAGAACTGGCTTTGTGTTTATTTTTGTAACTGATTCATCGTAGGCCTCATTAATCTGAGTTTACGTACATCAGTTTTTGAGTTAAAAAAGCGTTATTTGTGGATAATTTTAATCAATATTAAATAAAATATAAAAAAAATGCACTGTTTATCACACTAGCATGCTCTAATGTTTAACCAAGAAATTTGTTTTGAAAAGCTTTTATTTTGTACAAAATTTCAAAAAATTGCAAAAAAAAAATCACACTTGTGGTGTTCCTGGGTCAAAAATGACCGGCCTACAAAAATAAAGCTTATAAATCTCTTGTTATGCTATATTATTACCTAATATTGGTATCAATCTATTTGTCAGCTTGTTTTCTTTCAATTAGGACTTTGTATTTATACAGAGGTTTTGTATTTATTTTTGAAACTGATTGATCGTAGGCCTCATTGGTCTGAGCCTAGGGTTAGGTTTCTTCTCACTGTCTGTAGCATGAGGCAGTACCTGTAACCCAGTCAGGTTGCACAGGGAGTCCAGCTCCTCCAGGATGGCACATCCATACATGCCATCATGAGGAAGTTTGTTGTGTCTCCCAGCACAGTTTCAGGAGCATGCAGGAGATACCAGGAGACAGGCCGTTACATGAGGAGAGCTGGGCAGGGACGTAGAAGAGCAACAATAATGCTTTTTTCACTCAAAAACTGATGTACGCAAGTTCAGATTAATGAGGCCTACGATAAATCAGTTCCAAAAATAAACACAAAGCCAGTCCTAATTGAAAGAAAACAAGCTGACAAAAAGATTGATACCAATATTTGGTGATAATATTGCATAACAAGAGATTTACAGTATAAGCTATTTTTTGTGCCCCGGTCATTTTTGACCGCAGACACCACAAGTGTTATAGGGATTTGAACACAATCTGAGGGTTAAGTCATGTGTTTCTTGTTTCTAGATGTCAGTCTCAGACAAACACTCAAAATGGTAATACTGCATCCTAATTACGACAGGATTACTATGTTATACCCTGAAAAGTGGGAAAATATTAATATGAGACAATACTCCAGTGGTGTTCTCTCTACTGAAACTTTATGCAGATTGATAAGACAAATTCATGTAAAGCACATTTCCAGAACATTGCTCGGTTTCTTTAAGGGTCCAGAATTATTACAGTTTCATACTGTACCGAGACTAGTTGTAAAAATTGTTAACAATCAACAGATAATAATCTAACTTGAAATAATCAAAACATTTCTCCTTGTAAATAAACATGCACTTTTTAAACTATTGTTCTTTATTCTATTACTTATTTTCTTGTATATACATACTCGAACATTTCTCAATATATACGTATTTGTCTCACATCTATTTCTTCTATATCATTTCCATTGTTCTCCCATTATAAACATATTTCAGGCACAAATAAACAATATTAGAATAAACACTCATTTACACATTAAACATCAAAGTCTAACATGTTAACATACAATTTCCACGTGCATCTGGTTATTTCCGTGAACTCCCACACTCCCTCTTACCAATGCTCTTTACTGTGCATCAGCTTTAACTCATTCAAATCATAAAAAAGTTAAAATAGCCACTATAAACAGTGAAACATTATGCATTAATCCATTTTACACTTTATACAAAATGTTATCCCTCATACCTGAAAAGGGGAAAATATTAATATGAGACAAAACTCCAGCGGTGTTCTCTCTGCTGAAACTTCATGCAGATTGAGAAAACCCACAAAAGTTCCCCCTAGTGTCTCGTCAGCCAAACCTAATCAATCACCAACATACCTTAGTTTGACTAATAGATCACAGATCCACAAGAAACCATGTAAACTAACTTTGCATTTGCATTATTTGAACAAACAATTTTAAACTTTTTAACCATTTTATGACCTATTTTTAATCATGTTCCTTTTTGGATTATATTATGACATTTCTTAATTACCATTTTAATCTATCACACACTCCCCTACAAAAATAAATGTCATCTCCACATTACCATTCTCTTTCAACACGAGTCTTTCAGTCCCTTTTGTGTTTCACACAAATTTTGTAAGTGTTCTTGTAACTGTTCAGCATTTTAACATCCATGTCCACAACAGTCCATGATTGTCTTGAACTTGATAGTTCACTTTTTATATTAAAGCAACACTTTATGAAAAAGAACAGTCTATAATTTTCTCAAAGTGCAAAAATTTAAAGAGGCATGAAACAACAGTCCATCATTTTGGAGTTTTGGAGTCCAACAATTTCTAGAGTTGGGCACGGAAACCCTGTGCCAATATGGCACCGGTACCTATAAAGAAAGGAAAAGGAAAGGACGTAACGTGTACAAGTATGGTGTCCCATACTCAAAATTAGTGCTGTGCATTTAACCCATCCAAGCGCACACACACAGCAGTGAGTAGTGGACACACACCAAGAGCCGTGGGTAGCAATTTTTGCTGCGGTGCCTGGGGAGCAGTTGGGGGTTTGGTGCCTTGCTCAAGGGTCTCACCTCAGTTGTGGTATTGAGTGTGGAAGAGAGCGCCCCCACCTACATTCCCTGCCAGTACAGAGACTCGAACCCATGACCTTTGGGTTACAAATCCAACTCTCTAACCATATGGCCACGACTGCCCCACTATATAACCGATATGTACTAGAACCAAATCAGAATGCAGATTTCGGTGCCACTTAAATACCTGAGCGATCGATTGAAATATTTGTTCTGTGGTTCTCTAAAACAGAAGTAAGAAGCATCATTACCGGCACCACACATGAAAAATAATTTCCCGACTAAGAAAATGCATTCTCAGTGAGTTCAATTCTGAATTCTGAGTTCAAAATGCATGTGAACAACTTAAAACTTAAAATGAGACCATCCAAGAAGGGTGTGAATGCAGCAATTACACTTGCTATGACAGCAGCAGGTAGCCTACCATTAGCTAGCTAAGCTAAGCTAAACACACTTAAATTAAAATTCCTAAAGTTAAACTTCCATATTAATTACTTGCAATGAGAAGCGTTTCTAAACTGGTTGTCCAACAAAAGAGAACGTAACGTTTTTACTCCACAACACCAGTCAAATGCTTCCTTTTGTGATCTGATGTGACTTCTTGTCACAGAATGAGGCAGAAAATGTTATGAAAAAAGGCTATGACGATTAGCAATGGATGATAAATATACTTATTCATCCTTAAGTATTATGAAAATAGAGATGGCTTGAATAACACAGACAGACAATACAATTTGTCGCAGTCAAGTGTTAGTGTCTTTGTTTTATCATTCAACATGTTTATATCTTCTGTTTACTCTGTTACAACAATAGCAATACCTTTGTCCAAATTAGAGATTTCCTGGAGTGTCATCAGTTCTGTTACTTCTGTGATGCATATGTGGAGTTTCTGTGCGAGGGTGCCTGGTACCATTTTAAAGGTATCGATTGGCACCAGTAACGTAAAAAACCAAAACGATACACAACCCTAACAGCTTCTCAAGACTACAGTCCATAAGGCAAACAGTCCATATCATTATTAAAATTTTCAAAGTTCAAAGTCTGTTAAAGGTAGGGTAGGCTATTTCAGAAAGGATAGCGATAGCAAGCTAGCTTTGAAAGCAAGATCCCCACCCTCCCTACATAATCACTATGCAAAGAAACGCCTCCTCCAAAACACATGAACGCGCTCAGGCAGACCAGAGACTAACCAGCGACACGATGAGAGACGGCGTTGGTGGACAGTTGAATGCAACAATGTCACCTCCCTTGTATTCACATTTCTAAACCTGTTGTCCAACAAAAGAGAACATTATAACATTTTTACTCCACAACACCAGTCAACTGCTTCCTTTTGTGATCTGATGTGACTTCTTGTCACAGAATGAGGCAGAAAATGTTATGAAAAAAGGCTATGACGATTAGCAATGGATGATAAATATACTTATTCATCCTTAAGTATTATGAAAATAGAGATGGCTTGAATAACACAGACAGACAATACAATTTGTCGCAGTCAAGTGTTAGTGTCTTTGTTTTATCATTCAACATGTTTATATCTTCTGTTTACTCTGTTACAACAATAGCAATACCTTTGTCCAAATTAGAGATTTCCTGGAGTGTCATCAGTTCTGTTACTTCTGTGATGCATATGTGGAGTTTCTGTGCGAGGGTGCCTGGTACCATTTTAAAGGTATCGATTGGCACCAGTAACGTAAAAAACCAAAACGATACACAACCCTAACAGCTTCTCAAGACTACAGTCCATAAGGCAAACAGTCCATATCATTATTAAAATTTTCAAAGTTCAAAGTCTGTTAAAGGTAGGGTAGGCTATTTCAGAAAGGATAGCGATAGCAAGCTAGCTTTGAAAGCAAGATCCCCACCCTCCCTACATAATCACTATGCAAAGCCACGCCTCCTCCAAAACACATGAACGCGCTCAGGCAGACCAGAGACTAACCAGCGACACGATGAGAGACGGCGTTGGTGGACAGTTGAATGCAACAATGTCAGATTACCTCAACACAGACAGACAATACAATTTGTCGCAGTCAAGTGTTAGTGTCTTTGTTTTATCATTCAACATGTTTATATCTTCTGTTTACTCTGTTACAACAATAGCAATACCTTTGTCCAAATTAGAGATTTCCTGGAGTGTCATCAGTTCTGTTACTTCTGTGATGCATATGTGGAGTTTCTGTGCGAGGGTGCCTGGTACCATTTTAAAGGTATCGATTGGCACCAGTAACGTAAAAAACCAAAACGATACACAACCCTAACAGCTTCTCAAGACTACAGTCCATAAGGCAAACAGTCCATATCATTATTAAAATTTTCAAAGTTCAAAGTCTGTTAAAGGTAGGGTAGGCTATTTCAGAAAGGATAGCGATAGCAAGCTAGCTTTGAAAGCAAGATCCCCACCCTCCCTACATAATCACTATGCAAAGAAACGCCTCCTCCAAAACACATGAACGCGCTCAGGCAGACCAGAGACTAACCAGCGACATGATGAGAGACGGCGTTGGTGGACAGTTGAATGCAACAGTGTCAGATTACCTCATGTCTCATTCACCTCTGAGAAAACCTTACAGTACAAAGCTCATATTACAATAATAGCGCCTTTCATTCTCGCTGGAACGTGCTGAGGACGTATCATGTCTGCGTAAAGGGTGGGCAGAGGTATGCAAATACATATTTTGATAGGCAGGCAGGGCAGCCTATTGTAATGTTCGGACCGAACATTTTGATTGGATGAACATTTTATGGTCCTACAACTTCCACAGATAATATAAATACACATAAATAAGTTTAGACCACTAAACTTAGTGATTGCTATCGGGATGTGAAGAGACTTTCAACCAGCAAAAAAAAACATTTTTAAGCCAAATCACCTATCCTGCCTTTAAAGGAGATATTCCTCAGACAAATCAGTCCATATTCCCTTTTTTCCAACATTTAAAAGTTTAAGGAATGTCCAGAGCAGTATTCCTAAAACAAAACAATCCATCACTTCTCCAGATGTCAGACTGTAAAAATGCAAAGAAACTTTTGGTTTCACTTAGTTAACAGTTAATGGCACCTGATTAGTGGACTCCATACACAAAAGGCAAATGATAACAGTATTGCTGAACAGGTGGCAACCATGTTGACAGTCCATGAGCAGACACATACGTTAAGTTCTGTTGCAGTGACTCCAAGATTCCATTTGATTGTCCGATATTATAAGTAGGTATAATCAACTTATCGTAGGTGAGTACTCTTGGTGGGAGTGTTCCTTTCCTAGGCAGCTGGTAAGTTTGCTCTTCTTGGCCCTCTTGGTCACTTTTGTAAGGATCCACCCAGATTGGCCCAAAGACGGAATCCAATTGGTGGGCGAAGGTATAATGCGTGTAGGTCTTTTACTTGTGCTTCTGCCAAGTTCACTTACTTTATCAGGATTTAGTTTCAATTTTAGTCTAGCTCCGTGTTCAGAGTGACTCCAATTTCAAGTGATCATTAAATTTAGGCAATATTTCTAACTGAAAACTGATCACAAAAATCGATTGTTTATTAATTTAGATATTTTATTATTCTGGAAATCCCATACTTTCAATCATTCGTTCATTAACGACTTGGTATCGCTTAGTAATTCACTTGGCCAACGGTGAACACACAGCACAAAGCCTCCGCTGTAACTTTACCTGGGGGTGTCACAGTTGGACAGTGTTACTTTTTAAAAACGAGTGACTTTTATACTTTTAATGTCATATTTAGTAATATTTGCATTGTTTTATTTCTGTAATCAATCATTTTCTCATTCAATTGTTTGAGGAGTCACTGCCTCCCTTGCCTACTCGGAGGAAACGCCCCTGGTATATACATATTCTTACTGAACCTAGAGTGAAACATTTTGGGGGAAAAAGAGTGAGAGGGTGAGGAAGAGAGGGCAGAAGGGAGAAGGGGGTCGTAAATGAGCAAGGGTGGTGGTGGTGTTTGCTTATGGTGTTGATAAGAAGCTAATAATAAATCATAAAAACATAAAATAAAAATAATCAAGGCTTAACACTTGAACACTAAGAACATATTATTTAATTTGTTTACCTGCATGTCAATATGAACATTAGAGAACTGTAAACATGCAAATAACAAAAAAACATAGCAAATGTGTTGTTAAATTATTGAAATATTAATTTCCTCAGAAATATTTCAAGTAAATATTTTATTTTCATGGGGTTGACTGACAAAAACAATTGGGAATACCTGCATGGCACAGTTAGTTCCACAACGAACAGGGACTTTTGCGAGGTTGACCACAGGATTAGGTCCGGCTTGAGGTTAGTTGTGATTATCTTATGCAGAAAGCTGAGCTTCTGGTCTAAATCAACCTGCATTTTCCAGTCCCTGGCATCATCCAACAGGGTCAATTCCATTTTTGTAATTGACTTCACTGGAAGTATGCTACTCTTATGAAAGCGGTGGATTTTAAGACTCCACGCTTTGGAGGAAAGAGGGCATTGGTGGTCGTTCTCCTTCGTTCGAGAATAATCACCAGTTGTCTCAGGGCCTTATTGTGCCTCCAGGCCTTAGGAAAGACCGGTTTTGCGGCCAACAAGGATGTGCCTTAATGTTGCTGGTGTTTAACAGAGAGGACATGATGGATCTTCTCCAATTCACTGGTTTAGATTTTTGGGTTTGGGAAGAACATTATAGGTGGCTCTGATGATGAAACTCTGCTTCCCTCCATCTCCAAAAGGTCCTTCCAGGTGAGCTTACGTTTCTCCAGTTTTCCCCAGTTAGTCCATTGACCCTGTCTGGACTGCGAGATTGCCTTTGTTCATCTCTCCCCCTCCTCTTGCTGCTGGACCTTGGCTAATATAAGATTTTTTTTCTGGGTAGATGTTGCCATGTACTATTTGGGTCGGCTTGTCCTGAGTCCAAAACCCTCTTCCCTGCTGCAATTGCCCGACAATGTCTCTATGCCTAAGAGCATATTTTGCTTGCTGTATGGCCTCAGTTGGGGTCCAGTTCCTTCCAGTTGACAGTCTGGGAGCAGCCACTTGTATTATAGCATCCTGAGACTCAGTCAGGGTCATGTCCAGTCTCACTTTGGTGCATTTGTACGCTTCATTGATTTCAGTCAACACAAACAGAGGTTGAGAAAAGCACATTGTCAATCTGCAGTACTCACACACACTGATCCTACTGTCTATTTGAGGATTTGTTACATTTATTCTGACATGCTATTTAAGTAACAGAAGTTCGGCAGCAGTATTAAAGTCAGAAAGAGAAAAGAAGAGAATCTATAACATCTCACTGTTGCTGATTTATCATGCAGCTCAAAGCATTATTAGGAGAATCTCTCATCAATCTATTCTGGTTCATCAACACAGTTTCACTGATGATCCAAAACCAAAAGCAAACCCAGGATAGAGCGGCTGAGTGAATGTGGTCTGGAGTATGAGAATGAGGCTCATTGTGTCAGAGACGCTGTACAAGGACAGAGTTCCTGAACTGTGATCTACAAACACTCCTATTCTACTGCTGATGGGCTTTACATGGAGACGAGTCCATACGTTATTGTGTCCAAATGAGTAATTTGAGGAAGAACAGTCTAAACTCCAGGACTGATCATTATATCCAAACAAACACTCATAACCCCGTCCCTTCCTGCTGATGCTCTTATATGACACTGATATACGCACATCTCCAGTCCACTCCAGCTCCCAGTAACAGCGTCCACACACACTCTCTCTACACAACACCTGAGAATAACTATCAAATCTTTCTGGATGATCAGGATACGGCTGGACTGTGTCAGTGTCAGTAACCACTCGGTTGCTCTCAGACAGCTGGAGGCGTTTATTTACTGTGTTCAGATCCAGAGTGAACTGATGGGAATCTGATGGAGATAAAACACATCAGAATCAGGAATTATGAATCAGTTTGATCTTTTCATGTAGCTGAACTCTTCATGTTCAGTGTATTATCAGTGTCTCAGTACAGATGACCAGATATCCTGTGCAAATCTTCTGAGATCTTCTTGAGCTCCTCTTTGCAGAAATCCTCCAGTTTGTCTCTCAACTGATGGGCAGATTCTTTTAGGCCATCAAAAGAGATGAGAGAAATGAAGGGAACCTCGTTTACGTCTGTAGATTCAGGAGGTGCTGAGAGAGTCTGGAAACTCTACAGAAAACAGAAATCAAAACTCATCAGCTCCACACTTCACCCAATAACCTGCAGGAACATCCGATTTTTGCAGCTCTTGTTGACTTGACTGATCTTTAGTAACTCACCTCAATCCAGCACTTTCCATGCAGGAAATGTTTTGTTCTCCCTTAAGCAGGATTTATACTTTCGCCTAGCTCCGCTCCGCGAGTCTCCGCTGACTGCGCGCACACCTTCCCAAACGGACGAGGCTTTTATACTTGTCGCGCTCACCATTGTACTATTCTTTGAAAAGACAGGAGGCGACAAGGAATAATTGTCCTCTAAAACAATCGGGAATCACTGGTGAGAAGAAGTCAATTGCCAGTACAAGACTTCTCGCGTGATGAATTAATCATTTCTTTATGTACAAAACTGATTAAAATAATCTTAAGCTTTTGGGTTTATTTTGCATCAAACACAAGACAACTTTAAGCAAATAGTGTATAAACAGTCTAAATTAATTCTATTTATATTTTTATACAATAAAAATAAAGCGTACTTAAATCAAAAAGCCTTGGACATACTATACAAAAAAAACATATTATTTTCCCTTAAAGTGTCAAAAGTTGCACCTGGTGCTGTTTGAACTTCGCATCAAACTGCTTCTGTTTCACACAAATGCCAGCACAGATGTGCCTGTTCGGCTAGAGTCGTCCTGAAGTCATGCATCTTCAGAAGCAGAGCTGTGCAGAAAGTTTTTAAAAATGCTATGCACACCGCCATGCAAAATGAGGTCACGCACACTCAAAGCAGACTTCCGCCAACACCGCAATGACGTCATATTTTCTGCACGCACCCAAGTGAACTTGCGGATGCGTCGAGTATAAATCAGCCTTTACTCATCAAAGTATGACTGATCGTAAATCCCCCTCACAGCAGAAACAAGGTTTGCCATGTGGCCAAAGCCACAAAGGAAGAACAGATCTTCACATGCATTCACACAAAATGGACACAAAATCGATTAAACCTTCTTCACATCCATTTACAGAACTGTATATACTTAATGAGTGCTGTTTTGTTTAACCCTTTAAGACACAATCAGGTTTGATTTGGTTTCAATATGCTAAAGCATTGCTCAGTCACTCCAGGATTTCACGATTTTTTGATTTCAGAATGTATCGCAAAATCAAGCAAACACTCCATTTTGTGGCACCTTGCATTTTTGTCGGAAATCCTTGTAGGACTGATTGCTAATATACAGCATGTTACCTACATGTTTGGGGTCTTCATGGTCAAATTTAACATGCAGGCAAATAAAAATACATTTTATCAGCTTTGAAGATCACCTGATCCAATTTTTAAAAAGTTGAAAAGTTTTGAACTATTGGTGGTGCTAGTGTTGTTTGACAGATAATTATATCTTCCAGAAGAAAGAACTAAGAGAAAGATTCCTAAGAGATTTCCAGAGCTGAAAGACATTTTTTAAGTGTTGTCTCTTTCAAAAGAAGATGATCAGATGAGAGTCTGACTGATGATTATATAATAAGACACTCATGAAATGTTTCTCTGTGAGTCTCCTGTCACAGCAGGATCTGGCTCAAATCCATTATGATCCTGTTCTTCTAGGCAAGGCAAGGCAAGGCAAGTTTATTTTTATAGCACATTTCATACACAATGGTAATTCAAAGTGCTTTACATAAAAGAAAGTAAAATAATCATAAAAAATAATCATAAAAATAAAACAAGGAATTTAAAAACTTTGAAAATGATTTAAAAATTGATTTAAAATGAATGCAAGACAGTTAAAATAGAAAATGATTATACATAAAATACAGTGCAATCAGTTCGGACGTTGCACAGTGCTCATTCAGTAAATGCACAGCTAAACAGATGAGTTTTGAGTCTGCATTTAAATGGGGCTAATGTTTTAGCACATCTGATCTCTTCTGGAAGCTGGTTCCAACTGCGGGCGGCGAAATAGCTAAAAGCGAATTCCCCTTGTTTTGTGTGAACCCTTGGTATTTCTAACTGACTCGATCCTAATGATCTGAGTGGTCTGTTAGGTTTATATTCAGTGAACATATCTGCTATGTATTTAGGTCCTAGGCCATTGAGTGATTTATAAACAAGTAAAAGTACTTTAAAATCAATCCTAAATATAACTGGAAGCCAGTGTAAAGA